AAAAAAAAAAAAAAAAAAAAAAAAAAAAAAAAAAAGAAAGAAAGAGAGAGAGAGAAAATGGCTGGGGGTATAGTTCAGTGCCAAGGCCCTGCATTTAGTCCCTAGCATAACAAACAAACATAGTAGCCCTCAATAGGCTTATCAACAAGTATAATGTCTGGTACATCACACTTCTCTAAACTCTTCCTCCGGATAATGAGAAATTTCTACTATGAAAAGATGTTTTAGAAAGCAAGTATCATTTAAAGGAGAACAAACTATAAAAAATTAAAATTAATTACGTATAATAAAAAACACATATAAATTCTAGCATAATTTGTTTGGAAAGATACTTCTCCCAAAAAGCTGTCTAAAAATGCTTTAAAAAGTTTTCTACATATGAGAATTAGAGTAGTTTGATATCATTTCAAGATCCCATTAAATATCAGGCAGAATTTGAATGTGAATTTATTTAAAGACAAAGTTCTCTCTTCAACATATATTTTATAGTCAAGAGACTTTCGTAAGATTGGTGGGTCTTACTTTCAAGCAATTAAGAACAGATAAAATCCTAAAGAATGGGTTTGTGTGCCCAAAAGATCATTTGGAAATAAATGTACCTGATGTTCTTTCATTTGAAATGAAAATTTGAAAGCAGGTAAAACACTGGACCTGACCCCGAGCCACTTCAAATTAAAAGTAGCAACTTGGCTTCTAAGTACCATATTAGAGCTTGGCCTTAGCCCTGTGCTGTGGCACACACACTGTGGGAGGAAGAGGCAGGAGGGTCACACATTCAGGTCTTGCCTGGGAAAACTTGGTAATTCAGTGAGATCCTGATTCAAAATAAAAAATAAGAAAGGGCTGCAGATGCATGTAGCTCAGTGTGAAGACCCAGGGTTCAATCCCCAATACCAAAAAAATGCAAACATAAAATTTGGGTTGAAACTTAAAAAGACTGCCACCTTCAGGGTTCTGATGGAACATCAGATGAGGACAGGGAAGGGAGCAAGAGGGCCCTCGCTAGAAGAGAAATGTTTGTTTTGTGGATAAGGAGCAAGCATGAAGAGTCAGGTGAGCTGGCAAAAGCCCAGTTACAGGTGCGGAGTCTCTGAAGCAATATTTAGGGTTTTGGTAAAGCACAAACACACGTTCTAGGTCTACACAAGCTCTATGTGCAATCCAGGAATTCAAGGGTAGAAAGAAGTCTGATGGGATGGGACAACCATGGAGCTCGAAGGTAGCGTAGGTGAGCTGGGAGTAGCAGAAAATTAGAAAATGGAAATGACGAACCCTAGTCCTGCGGGGGAACCAAACTCAGAAACAAAAACCCAGGTTTGCAGACACTTTGATTCCAACAGACAGATGGAGGCAGCACCAGCAACGGACCCCAGCCAGGTGTGACTGCACGTCAGGCAGAAACACTCACATCCACAGGCGAACACCAACAGCCAGCTGCATCGAGGCTAATCCGAGCAAATGAGGAGAGGGCTTCTGTGTCTGGACTCCAGCCCGGAATACAAGCGACTGGGCTGTGGACATCTTTGCCAAGATTGTTCTTCACCTTGGCTTTGCAGGTGCTGTTTATCTGCAGTCGCACTGAGGGTATGACGCAAGCTGTACTTCCCTTCATTTCCCTAATCATTCAACAGGGCTGGTTCATTCCTACTGAGAGATCTGAGGAACAATGACACCTACTGTTTCACCCACCGCAACTGCAATAAACATGACATGGGATGGTGGTGGGTGTTGATTTGTAGTTACTCGTATTTCCTTCTTTGGGCAGGGGGAGACAAATGGCTCTCTGTTTAGAGGTTAAGCTGGAGAAGTACTGCAATCGGAAAAGACAGAGTTGTCATCATGAAGATGTTTGATTCGGCAAAAAATATGAGTGCTTGCCTGTAAGAGCCCCGTATTTTACAGAAAAGATGGAAAGGCAATGGAGATGTACAGTAGAGCAACGTGCAGTTCATCTATGACGGTGAGAGTATCAACTTAAAGAAACCGAAAATCTACAAGGTGCTAAGTGGAGCAAAGTAACGGCTGAAATGGCCTCCTGGGTCCCTACTCCTATGTCCACTTTCCTCTCTCTGCCTATGGCAAGGACCTGTGATCTCCACCAGCGAGCTGCTCTTCATCTCTACCTCCACCCCGGCACTGAGTGGGTTTGATTCCCTGGCAGCGGCTGGATCCTTATGTGGTCTGCCTTGATGGATCTAGTCTTCCTTTGAGACTGGCAGCTGGCTTTGTGCTTATTTTCTGTCTGTTCTGATATGGCTTCCCTGAAGACGACCCGCTCCCAGACTGGCAGTCACTGAATTCCACTGTGCCATTTCACACAGATCTTCTGGCTCTAACCACCAAACTGAGCACCCCATTACTGACCAGATGCCCCCTCACGCCCTCGCCTGCTGCTGATGGGCAGATCTATTTCAGATGAGTGGACCCATCTCAGCGGAAGTGTCTCAACTTTGATGAGACCCTTTCCTCCCCAAGTCAATCAACACTATCAAAATACAATGTATAATATTCAGCGCTCTTAGGGCAGATAGCAGTTAACAACTATCAGTTTTTGCTCCCTAAAGACATATACTATTATTTTTGAAGTTAAAAGAGCTGATGTAGTTTTTAAAACCCATGTTAATAAATCACTAAGGAATTGACTAGTCTTGAAATAGCTCCCTTTCTGGGCATTGCATCAAAGGATTCCTAAGTGATAAAGTAGGAGGGGAAGAAATGGAAGACAAGGAAGCTTGGGACTGCATCTGAAACACTGAAGCATAGACTGCTCTAACAGAGCGATGACACTGTGCGAAAGAGGTGAACGAATGTCACTGTGCTTTCTTTCTCTTACTTAAAGATGATACTCTAGAATAACTCAAGAAAATTCTATCTGAGCCAGCCATGAAAATAACCGAGGGGGAAGGTGGCACATGATTTATCAGTAGATTCTCTCTACTTTGTGTCAAATGTTAATAAAAAAGTTAAATTATCTTGCCCCAAACTAATTCCTACATAATTTCTAGAATTCTCAGAAAAGGAACGTAGTTTTAAGTATTGAACTGCATACTAAATAATTACTACTTTTGCATTATGAAATAGCTCCACTTTTTTTAAAATTTCAGTATAAAAAAATCCCTGATGCTAAGTTTTCTCTTTTCTACTGTAAAGGTGGGATAGTATACATATTATTTTTTTCTATTGCATCATATCTTAGTTTTTATGACTTGTAACATTGAAAAAGGTTCTCAAATAGCTTCTTGTGAAAGATTAGTAAATATATTATTTTGCTTTTATTATTTTAGTTTTGTAAAAACAGCATTTCTTTTCAAAGATGAACTCATTAGTTTTATGTTGTCTGCCAAAAAAATGTATATACATAATTCAGGTAAAGAAAAGTAGCGTGATTTTTTTTTTTCAACAGATGGTGTTACCCTTCTATGAGAGACCTTAAAGGATGTCATGTGGCACAGAAAACCCACTAGACTGCTTGGCCCTTAGAGAAGAAACTGAAAATGCATGTGCAGCAATTTCAATAACCAAGGTTACCCAAGTAGCAGTTAACCATACTAATAAATGTCTGGAAGCCAATGGCCACTTAAAGCACTTCTTGTAATTGTAGCAGGCAAAGGTAACTTGCATCTCAATAAATTTAGCATTAAACTATTTGTACAAGTTTTTCTTTTACTGAAGTGTGTATACATTTTTAGCAGTCTCTGTATACAGTATTAGAGTCGCAATAATCATGAAAACTTTTATATTGTAAAATACCTTTGTCCTTGAATACTTAAAACTAATAAATATATTTTCCTCATGTACTTTAAAGAAAGTCAGAGTAATGTAAAATAAAAGTCAATACCATATAAAACAGAATGATGCTGCCCAGAGTAATAAGACATTTAGACAAACAGTTCTCATTGTGCCACATTTTTCCAGACTGTGTCAAACTTAATTTCTATTAATAGGTAATAATCATGTTTTATATTTCCGAGTATTTACTATGCACTCAGTGACAACATCCTCTTGTGTTCACAGTAATTGCATAGTACAGACAGCCTATGAATCAGAGCATGGTGATTTGGCCAGCAGGACACCAGAAGAAGGGAAAGGACCACCATGTTGCTCAAACTGAAACCCCTAATGTTCCCTCTCTTGCCACAAGGTGATTATGCAATAGGCTACAAGCAGGACACTACTGAAAAGCAGTCACTTGGCTAAGCCTGATGTCCTGTGGCACTTTTCTGATCTGTTGGTGGTTGAACTGCAGTGTGAGTATAACTCTGGGACCTACTGCAACAAATTGCCTTCAAAATGAGCAAGTAAATAAATTATGTGTCATGCATCCTGGCACTCAAAAAAGTGAGTTTCTTTCAAAATTGAGGAAAGATGAAACAAATCCAACTTTTCAAATTTCCATGGTTGTATGCTTTTCAGACATGTTTTGGAAGTCTTTAAAGTGGGCAGGGAGTTAGGAAAGAACTGTGGCAGGGAGAATTTGGCTCTAGGGTCCACCTCACCTTCCTGAAAGTCACTTCACACAGCAGGTCACTGAAGAGAAGTCCAACACCTACTTTGAGTTCCGTTACCATGTTTTAATAATTCTTTCTCTGATCTTACAAACTTTAGAAAAATAATCCTGCACTCCACAGTCTGCTGAATATTTAGTTTTCTATTCAACTTCTGCACAGAAAATAAGCTAACACAACCCGAGGCTTCTTCAGAGAGTGGTCCCTCTGCTGGCCCTCGCTCTCTGGCCGGTACATAATATCTGTACAGAATATTGTTTGTTTCCTTGTTCGCTGTGCTGGGGATCTAACCCAAGGCTTTACCTAGGGCAGGCATGAGCTCAATCACTGACCTACAGCCCCAGCTAGATTTGTAATTTAGGTCACCCCCTAATCATCAGGCAGTTTTTAAAATTGAAATGTTCACCTTATCATTTCTGCATTTAAAACAAAATACTTAATTTCTTTTCAATGGTATTAAATATCTTAAAAGCACTGCTTAACCAAAGAGAGGATAAATACAGTGCGAACAGTATGGGAGGGGCTCTTGCAAGATGAATCTGACCCCAGGGTAGAGTATCCTATAAAAAGTATCAAAAACGGGCAAATAAACCCAGAATGGCCTTGGCCCTCTTCTACTCCCTGTAGGAGACTAGGAAAAAAAAATTAAATACCTCATATAGAAGGGTGACAAAGGTCTTTTATCTTCCTGTGAACTAAAAGGAATTAATTAATTAATTAATTATTAATTAATTAATATCATTTTTGTTAACAGAACATGTCAATTTTACTAAAACTCTGTTCTACCTGTCACAGATTTGTTCTGACACAGTGCTAATCTCAGGATGAAGTGGGAAAACACCTTCCCTAGGAAGGAGCCAATATCAATTACTTCTCCAAGTGAGGTCATCAAGAGAGGTTTCTTTCCAGATGAGCCTAAGGCAAAAGTCATTTGCATCACACCTCCAAGAGGAAGCTTTTTATTGCCTTATTTTGAAGTCCAATTCAAGTACTGCTATGCTAAACATAAACCCTTAAAGCGATTACAGACACAATTATCTACAAAGTTAATTCCAGGTCATTAACATTAACATGACAGCCAAGAAAATATATCCTTTGGGGCCATTTCTGGAATGAGTCCCTAGCAAGAAAGAGCCCTTCAGTGAGCTCTTCTTTCACACTCTTGGTCGTTCTCTGGTTGCTCACTACTAGTGTGCACAGCATGGCAAGACACCCAGGGAGTTACACTCATAGCGAGAGTTCCTCAAAGGATGGGAAACAGTACACCACTCCATATGAATGTACTTCATTTTGAAAACTGTAAAATGTATGCTGTACTTATTATTTTTTATTTAATTTTTTTCTTCTAATGAACCATTTCAAAGCATAGTGAAGTTTTCCCTGGTTATTTTCACTCCTTTTTTTTTTCGGTACCGGGGACCAAACTTGTGCTTGCAAGGCAGACGGCAGAACCACTGAACTAAATCCTTGGCCCTTCCCTGGTTATTTATTTCGGTACCGGACCAAACTTGTGCTTGCAAGGCAGACGGCAGAACCACTGAACTAAATCCTTGGCCCTTCCCTGGTTATTTTCTTAAGCATCACTGACAAAAAGAGAAACCTTTGCTTCACCTGGAAAAATCTTAACCATAGTTAGAGTGTAACACACATATGCACACACACGTTTTGTCTTGGAAGTTGAAAAGATTTAACATCTTAGCTGGTACATGGCACATAACAGATGACCTAGTTATTCATTTTCTCATGATTTGAGTTTGCAGTCGTGATCTTGCTCAGCTGTTCTAATGCTCAAGTTGCCAGAGCTGCTAATGTTTGCAATTATAGTAACTGTGCCAATTCTTCTCATGTGCAGAGAAGGGACAGATCAGCTTCACTGTGGCCTGTGATGGCCATGTGCTGAGGCAAGGTTTGTAGATTCCGCATGGTGACAGCATCTTAGGAATGCCCAGGTGTCCTGGGATGAGACCACAGGCAGCGACTGGTTCAGGCCAACCTAACACAAGCAGCTCTGTATTTGGCTTCAGAATATTCCTAGAAAACACTTAACAAAACAATTATAAAAATGTTATGATTGGTTTTTTTCCCCTCTTCAAGGAATCTGTGTGTCATACTAAGTATGATCAACAATGTTTCCAAGAGCTACCACTAAAAACATGCAGTGATTTGTTATTACAGGGAAACTGCCTGTGTGTTTGCCCAGGGCAGATCTCAGTGCGAATGTGTAGCATGTTAGAATGAAAATGGACTTATGATAATGTACTTTGTTAAACATTTAGTGAGTGACAGGCTTGGCTTTTTGCGAGAAGTGCTTCTGGGGAGATGAGATGGTGCTGGGGTTTGGCTGTGCATTTCTGTTGGCACCATGTGTGCTAAATATCTGTGTAGCCCTCAGAGCAGTTCACTTTTCCTTTATACATTCCCTCTTGCACACACTTACTCATGAGGAGAGGCAGGTAGAGCCATGGGCCCTGCATTATCTCACTTAGATCCGTGTGCCCTGTACTTGCCCCTTGCTCTTTTTTCTAGATGAGAAAAACAGCTCACAGTGGGCTCATCCCTTGTGCTGGTGACACAGCCAGTCATGTAAATTTTTGCAGCACATGTGAGTTCATGTTGACTGTTTATTGTCTTTATCTCTTTTGTGGTACGGGGAGTATATATTCCCAGGACTTAATTTGTTTCATTTCTTTTTTTTTTTTTTTTTGTGGTACCAAAAAGAAAATCCCCTTAGGGATGGAGCCTGGGGGCGCTGTACAAATAAGTCCTTTTTAAATTTTTTATTTTGAGACCAGGTCCCAATAAATTGCCTTAGCCTCCTCAGTAGCTGGATTTCAGATGTGCACCACCATGCCTGGCTCTTCCTCTTTATTTCAAACTATCAGCATACTGTGCGATGACTTGGTTGGTGAAAACAACCCATACCACAGGCAGTCTGCACTCCAGCAGCCCTCAGTAAGATCATGTAGGCTTCATGACCTCCTTGCCATGTTTCTTATTCTAGTAGCTCTCATCTTTAAGCAGAGCCCATCAAAAATAATTATGCCTCAGCGTTTACAATTATTAAACACAATGGCAGTATATAAAAAATGTCTCTTGATAGAAATGCAAAGTTTTAATCACAGGCAAATATTTTTCAGGCTACATTTGCACAAAGTAAATTTGTCAGGGGAAGACCAAACAAGAAACTCCGAATTTGGATCTATATATCCTTGAATTTTGATCACTTCTAAGTATTCTAAAGGAGAAAATGTAAACACTAAAAAATTTATGTAAAATGAAACACTGTGTATTACATTTAGTCAATAATCAGCATTCAATAGGGTAGCAATCCATGTGTGATACCAAAAAAGAACAAGACTTGTCATGTAGAGGTACAAGATCCCAACAATGAATGTGACTGTACTGTATCCCTAAAATGTACCAATAAACACAATTAAAGCTGAAAAAAAAAGAACAATATAACTTGACAAGAAAATGAGGGTGAATACACCAAAATTTCACATGGGATTAGCATATTTTGTATTTTTCTTTCATGAACATACCCTTGCCTGGGATTTAGTAATATAACCTTGACGAAGATAAGAATTCTGAAGCAACCAAAGCATTTATTTTAAATAGATTAGTTTTAAAACCAATTATTACACTGAGTTTGAAAGGCAATTTTCAGGAAACATGGCCAAGGACAACCCTTTCCAACAATGAAGAAATAAAGTTTTCCATCAAATTTACTAATCAGAATGCAAAACATAGCTAGCTATGGTGGTGCACACCTGTAATCCCAGCACTGTGGGAGGCTGAAGCAGGATTTCAACTTGAAGCTCAGCTCAGGCAACTCAAGTGACTTAGTGAGACCCTGTCTCAAAATGAAAAATAAAAAAGGTCAAATCCTAGTACAAGAAAAAGAGAATGCAAAACATTTGAAAAGATCACCATTTCCACATAGTTATGCAAGAGATGTTGCTCTATTATTACAGGCTCCAAAGTATCTATTTATATGAGTTAGTGACACCTGTTCCTAGTTTTTTGTCAATCGCAGTCATGTCCACTGAAATTAAAATGTTTTCGCCTAAATTCTAAATGTAGAATTCTGATTCGCTTTTTTTTGTTGTTGTTGTTGTTGTTACTGGGAATCAAACTCAGGGCCTTGCACTTGCCAAGCAGGTGTGGCACCACTGAGTTAAATCCCCAGCCTCTGATTCACTTTTATTAATAGTCTTATTTTATAAGAACAATGCTATGGACTGTGAATGAAGGAGGACTATGTATGATGAAATTATGGCCATTTCAAACTTGGCATTGACTTGACTTCCTCCTTGGTTACTCTTATCAAGCCCAAGTTTTAATTATTTCCTACTTGCTGACTCTGAATAACAGCTAGGTTTAAGAAGCCAGGTGTTGTTTTTTCTTGTTTATTCAAATGTACACTGAGAGATGCAGGCAATCCCTTCATTTATGTCACACAATCAAGTAGTTAATATCTTCAAATATGCAGTGTCATACACTGCCTTCAGGAAGAATATTTATCAAATACTGTGTACTCAAACCTAAGACGAGACAACTGAGAATGCCACTGATTTAGATAGCAGGGCTTTTAGCAGGGTTCTAT